GGGCAACCCCAGAGTCCAGGTTGGAGGAAAGGCACCAGGGGCATGATCTGCTTCCAAGCGAAGTCAGGGCTGGAGGCAGAGGCTAGCCTGCCAGCCGTCTCCCGCACCGTCTGAGTGACGTCAGGGCTGGAGGCAGAGGCCAGCCATCTCCCTCACCTGTGCAACCTCCTTTTCTCCCCCAGATCCTGTTCATCTTCATCGACAGCGACCACACGGACAACCAGCGCATCCTGGAGTTCTTTGGCCTGAAGAAGGAAGAGTGCCCAGCCGTGCGTCTCATCACCCTGGAGGAGGAGATGACCAAGTACAAGCCCGAATCGGATGAGCTGACAGCAGAGAGGATCACAGAGTTCTGTCACCGCTTCCTGGAGGGCAAAATCAAGGTGCGGGCGCATCCCGGGCCAGGGCTGCCCCCCAGATAGAGCTGCCACCTTAGGGGGTCTGGGCTCTCAGTGTCCTGGGCTTCATCCTCAAAGTAAGGTCTTCAGATAAGAAGACGGAGCCCAAGATCGTGTGAAGACCACTATTGTCACACCCTTGGGGACCTGTAGGAGCCCTCTTGTTGACACTGCTGGCCCAGATGCTCCTCAGGGAAGCCTCCTGGCGGGCGAGGGTGTGGCCTACGTGGGCTCATTGGGCCCAGCCCACTGGCTCAGCCTTCTCTTCCTGGATTCTTGGCACTGTTGGCTTCCGCGGCTGCCATCCTGGTGATGCCAAGGGCAGCCGTGCACCTCAGCCAGGCAGGGGTGAGGGTTGTGGAGCTCTGTGGTCCCCCAGGCGGCACCGCCCCTCACGGTGCCCTGCCTGCCCTCCAGCCCCACCTGATGAGCCAGGAGCTGCCGGAGGACTGGGACAAGCAGCCTGTGAAGGTGCTTGTTGGGAAGAACTTTGAAGAGGTGGCTTTTGACGAGAACAAGAACGTCTTCGTGGAGTTCTGTAAGTGCTGCCCCTTCAGCTTCCCAGGTCTGTGCCCCCAGGGCACGCGGGAGGTGTGCGGACTCCCGGGGAAGCGTCTGCCAGCGACTTTGTGGTCCAGGACACACCCTAGAACTGCTTTCTTTTCAGATGCCCCGTGGTGTGGTCACTGCAAACAGTTGGCTCCCATTTGGGATAAACTGGGAGAAACGTACAAGGACCATGAGAACATCGTTATCGCCAAGATGGACTCGACCGCCAACGAGGTGGAGGCCATCAAAGTGCACAGCTTCCCCACACTCAAGTTCTTTCCTGCCAGCGTCGACAGGACGGTGCGCCTTCCCTCTAGATGGGGCCGGGGCGGGCCCTGGGAAGAGCGATGGTCTCCACGCCAGCCTGGGTGCTGCTTTGTCTGGAAGGAGCCTGGGGCTAGTTGGGTGGAAGAAGAGCTGTGGGAGCTCCTTCAGAAGCACCCACCTTTTTTTCTTTTTTGAGAGAGATGGGATCTCACTATATTGCCCAGGCTGGTTTTGAACTCCCAAAATGCTGGATTCCAGGCGTGAGCCACCGGGCCGGGCCTGCTCTGCCTTTCTCTAGGGAGGAGGAGCCAGTGCTGGGAGATTGGTTCTGGGCCAGGACCAGCCCCTGCACTCATCCCTGTCTTCCACAGGTCATCGATTACAATGGGGAACGCACACTGGATGGTTTTAAGAAGTTCCTGGAGAGCGGTGGCCAGGATGGGGCAGGGGATGATGACGTGAGTGGGGTCACAGCCCTGGGCCGGTCTCTGGGATTCAGCCCCGCGGCCCCATGGGACATGCCCACTTGGGCTTGGCTTGTGATGAGAACGGTGCTGTCGGAGGCACGTCTGTGCAGCCAGGGCTCTGGGGCTCCACACCTCTGCCCAGCAGGGCAAGGGATGTGCTCCCAGCGCTCTGCTGAAACAGCTCTCCCTGGCCAGCACTTTAGGGGGCGAGGTCAAAGACATCTTAAAAACCAGATTTTGCTTAGAAAACCTTTTCAGACGCGTGGCACCGGTTCCTCACACGCTGCTAACTTGGACTCACATGTCCATCCCCAGCCCGCTGGCGGAGCCTGGGCACAAGGGAGCAGACATGGGTCTGACGCCCTCAGGAGCTCAGTCCTGCCTGTCAGCACGTGGCCAGCAGCAGTGGTGACTCTGCTGGAGAAGCAGGAGGGCTGGTGTTGGGAGGATGTGGCAGGGGCAGGGTGCTTGACCATGGTGAGGGAGATGAGGGCATGGTCAGTCTAGGCTGGCAGGGCCTGCTGGGAGTGCTGGTGCACAGTGGGAGCTGGAAACACCCTGCCCAGGCGGGGGACGGAGGCCGGCCCCTTGTGCTGCCTGTGGTCTGTCGCTGGCCAGAGCCTGAGGGTTGGAAGTAGAAGGGTCACGCCAGCGGTGACTGCCTGAACATCATGCTGGGGCTATTGTCCCTGCCAAGATGTGAACTCTCTGTAGGCTCCATGGTGCCAAGCTGGGAGGCACACATATGCCTGCCATGCCCAGTGGAAGGGTCCGAGGCTGAGCTGGGACTCCCAGGGTTCCTGACACAGTGGGGGCTCTGATTCATCCTGCTATAGGTAGAAATCCCCCAGGCCTCACTCTTCCTGGGAAGACCCCGTGTATCTCGTAAAGACCAGGGTTGGCTGCTCCAGTGGCCGGTGGCCATGTCCAACGTGGCCGGCTGGTCCCCAGTGTGAGCATCGTGGGGTGCTGGGTGCCGGCAGCCTCAGCCGTTGCAGCCAACGTGTCCCCCACCTTTTCCTGTATCCCAGGATCTCGAGGACCTGGAAGAAGCAGAGGAGCCAGACATGGAGGAAGATGATGATCAGAAAGCTGTGAAAGATGAACTGTAAGACGGAAAGCCAGACCCGGGCGCTGCCGAGACCTCTCGGGGCTGCACACCCAGCAGCAGCGCACGCCTCTGAAGCCTGCGGCCCTCATCTGAAGGAGGGCGTCGCCGGAAACCCAGGGAACCTTTCTGAAGTGACACCTCGCCCCCACACACCGTCCATTCACCCCCGTCTCTTCCTTCTGCTTTTCGGTTTTTGGAAAGGGATCCATCTCCAGGCAGCCCACCCCGGTGGGGCTTGTTTCTTGAAACCGTGATGTACTTATGGGTCTGTCCAGAGTGCTCGCTGGAGTGTTCAGAGTCTCGCTGCCTCCCTCCTGCGGGAGGTTTCTGCTCTCTTTGAAAATTCCATTTGTGGGATTTTTAGACATTTTTCGACATCAGGGTATTTGTTCCACCTTGGCCAGGCTTCTTTGGAGAAGCTTGTCCCCCGTGCGGGAGGGATGGAGCCAGACTGGACACGGTCACTCAGCACCGCGTGCAGTGTTGCCATGACTGATCATGGCTCTTGCATTTTTTGGGTAAATGGAGACTTCCAGATCCTGTCAGGGTGTCCCCCATGCCTGGAGGAAGGGCTGGTGGCTGCCAGCCCTGGAGCCCAGCACAGGCCTAGGCCTTCCCCTTCCCTCAAGCCAGGGCTCCGCATCCTGTCGTGGGCTCATTGCTTGTGACCACTGGCCTCTCTACAGCATGGCTCGTGGCCTGCTTGAGGCAGAACCAGGACCCTTGACTCCCAGGCGGGGAGGTGGCCAAGGATGCTGGAGCTGAATCAGACGTTGACAGTTCTTGAGGCATTTCTAATTCACAATCTGGAATTGAACACATTGGACAAATAAAGTTTAAATTTTACCACCTGTTCTTGCCTCGGGTTTATGATCTCGCCAAGCCTGGGGAGCTGGGCTGGAATGCTGACGCCAAGGCCATCTGCCAGGCCTTGGTGGGGTCACTGGCGTTGAGAGGCCGCGCCCCTGGAGCGAGGTGCAGATGCAGAAACAGGCGCCGTCTCCCTGCCTGCCGGCTGCTTCACCTGGACTGTGATGGGGCTTCTGTGATTCTGGACCCTGGATGTGGACATGGGTGGAGCCACCCAGCCCCACGTGATGCTCACAGACTCCAGGTCGTTCCCTCCCATCCCTGCCGTGGAGTGACGAGAAATCAGGTGGACTCAGGCTTTAAGGGCGGATGAGAGGAACAGGGTGTCCCGCTTACCACTAACCCTTCACACGATAAAGGCTGGACTGGGCGCAGGGACGCGCGCCTGGAATCCCAGTGTTGGTGCAACATGGGGAGACCCCGTCTCTACGAAAAACTAGAAATTAGCTGGGCATGGTTTGCACCTACAGCCCCAGCTACTCGGGAGTTTGAGGCAGGAGGATCGCTTGATCCTAGGAGGTCAAGACTGCAGTGAGCCGAGATCAAGACTAGGAGGTCAAGACTGCAGAGTGAGACCCTGTCTCTAAAAAGAAGAATCTCCTGGTCTTTTTTTTTTTTTTTTTTTTTGAGACGGAGTCTCGCTCTGTCACCCAGGCTGGAGTGCAGTGGCGCGATCTCGGCTCACTGCAAGCTCCACCTCCTGGGTTCACACCATTCCCCTGCCTCAGCCTCCCGAGTAGCTGGGACTACAGGTGCCCACCACCACACCCAGCCAACTTTTTTTTTTTTTCTGTATTTTTAGTAGAGAGGGGGTTTCATCGTGTTAGCCAGGATGGTCTCGATCTCTCTGACCTTGGGATCCGCCCACCTCGTCCTCCCAAAGTGCTGGGATTACAGGTGTGAACCACCACGCGCAGCCATCTTCTGGTCTAAGTTGTAATTTGGCTTAACCTCAGCGCTCTTGTGCTTCACGTACAGAAAAACACATAGACTGTCGATTTTTTTTTTTTTTTTTTTTTTTTGAGACAGAGTCTTGCTCTGTCGCCCAGGCTGGAGTGCAATGGTGCTATCTCGGCTCACTGCAGCCTCACCTCCCGGGTTCAAGTGATTCTCCTGCCTCAGCCTCCTGAGTAGCTGGGATTACAGGCGCCCACCACCGTGCGCCCGGCTAATTTTTTGTATTTTTAGTAGAGACAGGGTTTTACTGTGTTAGCCAGGATCTGCTGGCTGACCTCGTGATCCACCCACCTCAGCCTCCCAAAGTGCTGGGATTACGGGCATGAGCCACCGCGCCCGGCCAACAGTTGTTTTTTCTGCAGACAGAAAGCTGCGGCCTGTGTGCAGGGCTGGGCGATGGCTCTGCTGAGCCTGGATTTGCTGCTTCTCTGCAGGGGAGGCAACAGGAGCTCTGTGGTGTCTGTGGGTTCCACTGAGGGCAACAGCAGAGGCCCTGAGGATCCAGCAGGGCTCATGGTGGTCTCAGAGGACAGGTGAGGCAGGAGGAAGGAGCCCGAGGGTGCAGGAGGGAGTGGGGGTGGATTTGTGGCTCTAGGGAGGCTACTCGGCCCGCGGAAGCTCGGACAGAACAAGCGGCTCTCACCAGGCTGCCTTGAGGAGCCCTGCCTGTGACTCGGAGCCCTGCCAACTTCACGTGCTGACGTGCTTCCCGGAGTACGAGCTTCCGCACCGCTGAGATTCCCGGGTGTCCTCCCAGTTCCCGAGCTTGTGGGCTGGTTGCAGCTGCTGGAGCCAGAGACAGCTCTCAAGCCAGACCAGGCCTTGCTGGGGGTGCAGTTCTCCCGTTCTCCCCGCTACCGCCCTCGCCAGCCCCACGGGCCCTCACAAACCCGGCCGCTCCCGCTCCTGCCTCCGCTCTAGGCTGTGGAGTATCCGGCCAGCATGCCGCGAGGAGCTGTGTCAGCACGTTGCCAGCACCAGCCAGCCCGGTTTGCCCACATGTCGTTGGCCCAACACGGCTCACACCAGCTCGGCAGTCTGGGTGCTGCCATCTGCCCTGGACCCTAGCTCTGTGGGTTTTGGAGGCAGCCCATGTTGGGGCTGGTTTCTGGCTAGTTCAGCTCCAGGGCCTCAGCTGGGTTTGCATGTCATGCCTGGGTCCTGCGACACAGTGAGCCACATACTCACGGAAGAGTGGGCACAGGCATCTGGAGGTGCCGTGGGAGGATGTCAGCTCTGCCCCCAAGATGTGAGCAGAGCTCCGAGGGCTGTGGCTCCTTGCAGGGTCTCTGAGGAGGGAGACTGTCTTGAGTCACAGCTAAAGGGGTGGGCTGTATTTGTTCCTGTGCTCCCTGGCTGTGGGATGGGGTGCAATGACCCTGTGGACCCGCTGTGTGGGGAGCTGACCCTCCGGAGAGAACGCTGGGACACGGCGCAGCTGCCCGGAGCCCTGGTGTCATGTGCTCTGGGGAGGCGAGGGAGTCACTGATACCTTTCCCGTTTTGCAGAGGCAGCTGATGAGCACATTCCTGGGCTTGGCTGTTGCTGGAAGGTGGTGGGGCAATGTCCAAAACCTCTCTGGCTGTACTGCTGGATTAGTAGGGAGACTTTGAAGGCTCTGGGGGGAGGCGGTTAGGGCTTAGCAGCCTGGGACTTCCCAACCCTCTGTCCCTCCAGATGCCAGGGAGCCACTGGCCTGGAGCCTAAAACTGTGATTGCCAGACCTATGTACTATACTCTGGGAGTCCTCTGACCTCAGGGAGGGAAGGGCCCTTCTAGCCCGAGGCTGACCCTCCTGCCTCCTGCCGGACTGCAGTGCGACCTGCACTGACTTTTCCCGTTTTTTTTTTTTTTTTGAGACGGAGTCTCACTGTGTTGCCCAGGCTGGAGTTCAGTGCTGTGATCTCTGCTCCCTGCAACCTCTGCCTCCTGGGCTCAAGCGATTCTCCTGCCTCAGCGTCCTGAGTAACTGGGATTACAGGCATGCACCACCACACCCGGCTAATCTTTGTATTTTTAGTAGAGACGGGGTTTCACCATGTTGGCCAGGCTGGTCTCGAACTCCTGACCTCAGGTGATCCACCCACGTTGGCCTCCCAGAGTACTGGAGTACTGGGATTACAGGCGTGAGCCACTGCACCCGGCTTCAGCAGACTTTTCTAACAGGGTCTCCTGAGTGCTTTTGCAGAGCACTGCTGGTTGCATTCACTGGACTTTTTTTTTTTTTTTTTTTTTTTTTTTTGAGACAGGGTCTTGCTCTGTTGCCTAGGTTAGGGTGGAGTGGTGTGACTGTAGCTCAGTGCAGCCTCAAACTCCAGGGCTCAAGCAATCTTTTGCACCTCAGCATTCCAAGTAACTGGGACCATAGGCACGCCCGGCAAATTTTTTAATGTTTTGAAGAGAAGGTGGTCTCCCTATGTTGCCCAGGCTGGTCTTGAACTCCTGGCTTCAAGTGATCCTTCCACCTTGGCCTTCCCAAGTGCTGGGATTACAGGCATGAGCTACTGAGCCCAGCCAGGCCTCACTGGACTTCTAAAAGTTGGATGGTAAACCTTGTGAATTAGATGTTCTAGTTCATCCTCCAGAAGGCAGAAACTTAAAAATCATGCAAATTAGGTCAATTTGCAAGCTCATATGGACCAAGAAGAATCAGGGACAAAACTCCACAAAGACAGGTTTTGCTCTGACGTCATGCTGCAAGAGCAGCACGTTCTCCCCACGGTGAGCAGGTACGACTGTTTACGGCCAGCTTCTGATGGAAAGTTCCAAGGGTGAGGAGCTCCAGGGAGTGTCCATCATGGCGTAGCACACACGGTTCCCACATCCTTATTAGAATAAAAGGCACAAAAATAGCTTTCAAGGGATCTGTTGTGACTGGTGAGGCTTCGGGCACCAATCCCTTCGGTGATCCAGACAGAAACCCCAAAACCAAAAGCTCTGCATGCTCTCAGCTCACCTTCAGCAGGAGGGACACAGGGGCTTGCTTGGGGTCGCCAGACAGGCTCACCCGATGGGCCTGCCCCCACCGTGTCTCTAGCCCGAGGCCCGGTCACTCCTGGAAAGGGCGTTCCTTCTGGTCACACTGTTGGTGGCAGCTTCATCCAGCGTGCTTTCATCTGATCCTCCGAGGGGGGAGGGCAGACAGAACTTTCCACAACATGAGAAAAGGCAATCTTCACATCAGAGGAGACTCTGTCTCCTGTCTCCAGTGTAGAACCTTTCGTCTCTAGGCTTCACGTAAACAAACCAGAAAAGACGACCTTGTTCCTCCCAAGTGACCCGGAATTCCTACCATCCGCACCTTTCCCTGAGTCCCTAGAAATGCAGCCACGCTGGGAGCCCACCCCGCTCCGGGTGTCTGCAGGCCTGGGCCTGGCTAGAGGCTCCAGGGCCACTCCAGTGTGTGACGAGAGGTGGTGTACCCGTGGCGAGGGGCCCAGGGGCAGGGGAGGGGGCAGTGGGTGTACCTGGGCACCAACGCAGGTCAAGGAAACCTCTGCCAGGCAGGGACCCTCCGTCAGGGCCGCTTCTGCAGCAGCATTTTTATTTTTATTTTTTTTTAATTTTTAAATTTTTTAATTATTTTTTGAGACGAGTCTTGCTCTGTCGCCCAGGCTTGAGTGCAGTGGTGCGATCTCGGCTCACTGCGACCTCCGCCTCCCAGGTTCAAGAGATTCTCCTGCCTCAGCTTCCTGAATAGCTGGGATTACAGACACACACCACCATGCCCGGTTAATTTTTGTATTTTTAGTACAGACAGGGTTTCTCCATGTTGCTCAGACTGGTCTCGAACTCCTGGCCTCATGTGATCCGTCTGCCTTGTCCTTCCAAAGTGCTGGGATTAAAGGCGTGAGCCACTGCGCCCGGCCAGTTTTAAATTTTTTTTTTTTTTTTGAGACAAGGTCTCGCTCTGTCACCCAGGCTGGAGTGCAGTGGCTGGATCTCAGCTCACTGTAAGCTCCACCTCCCGGGTTTACGCCATTCTCCTGCCTCAGCCTCCCGAGTAGCTGGGACTACAGGCGGCCGCCACCACGCCCAGCTAGTTTTTTGTATTTTTTTAGTAGAGACGGGGTTTCACTGTGTTAGCCAGAATGGTCTCGATCTCCTGACCTCGTGATCCGCCCGCCTCGGCCTCCCAAAGTGCTGGGATTACAGGCTTGAGCCACTGCGCCCAGCCAAGGCTGGTCTTTTTAAACCCCTCGCTTCAACTGACCCTCCAGTCTTGGCTTCCCAAAGTGCCGGGATTACAGGCATGAGCCATTGTGCCCAGCCCTCCCACAGAATTTGGCCAAGGCTTTGCACCTAGAGGTGTCTAATATTTAGTTTGCTGATTTGATTTCGTTGGATGCAGATCAGCTTAATGATGCAAGGCTGTTGGTGGCCCAGCTCCTCTGCCCCTGCAAAGAGCTGCTGGCCAGTCTTGGTTCTGTCCTTATTCAGGCCGTTAGTGACCACCTGCAAGGTTTTACCAGCATTTCGGGTTGACGCATGTGTCTCCTTAATTAACGTTGAAGTCCTAGCCCTCAAGACCTCAGAATGTGACAGTTGTTTGGAAACAGAGTGCTTGCAGAAGTCACTGGTTAAGATGAGGCAATACCCAACTATGACTGGTATCCTTATACAAGGGGGAGACGTGAACAGTGACAAAGGCTGGGAGAACACCGTGGAGATGAAGGCCGAGATCGTGGTGATGCTGCCAGAGCCAAGGACACCAGCATTGCCGGCAGCACTGGAAACCGGGGAGAGGCCTGAGACAGATGCTCCTCAGAGCCTCAGGAAGAACCTGCCCTGTTGAAACCCGGATCCCAGACTTCAGCTTCCAGAACTCTGGGAGGGACCAGAGTTTGTTTTTTTGTTGTTGTTGTTGTTGTTTTTTGAGACGGAGTCTTGCTCTGTTGCCTAGGCTGGAGTGCTGTGGCACAATCTCAGCTCACTACAAGCTCCGCCTCCCGGATTCACACCATTCTCCTGCCTCAGCCTCCGGAGTAGTAGCTGGGACTACAGGTGCCCACCACCACGCCCAGCTAATTTTTTGTATATTTAGTAGAGACGGGGTTTCACCAGGTTGGTCAGGCTGATCTCGAACACCTGACCTCAGGTGATTCACCTACCTCGGCCTCCCAAAGTTTTGGGATTACAGGGGTAAGCCACTGCACCTGGCTGATCATCTGTTTTTTGTGTTTTTTTTTGAGACGGAGTCTTGCTCTGTCGCCTGGACTGGAGTGCAGTGGCCGGATCTCAGCTCACTGCAAGCTCCGCCTCCCGGGTTTACGCCATTCTCCTGCCTCAGCCTCCTGAGTAGCTGAGACTACAGGCGCCCGCCACCACGCCCAGCTAGTTTTTTTTTTTTTTTTGTATTTTTTAGTAGAGACGGGGTTTCACCGTGTTAGCCAGGATGGTTTCGATCTCCTGACCTCGTGATCCGCCCGTCTCGGCCTCCCAAAGTGCTGGGATTACAGGCTTGAGCCACCGCGCCCGGCCGATCATCTGTTTTTTTAAGCCACTCAGTCTGTGGTCTGTCAAGATAGCCCCAGCAGACTCATCCAGCCAGCTTCAAGTGCTGCAGTGTTCCCAGCACAATCGATGGCTGTCCCTGACCACAAAGACCTCCCTGGTCAACTCTGTGTCTGTGTCCCATCCCATCCACTTGCTCATGTCCTGTAGTCCAAGCCCCACTTTGGACCTCCACTGGGGCTGTTGCAAAAGTAAAGGCAGCCAGCAATGAAGAGCCTGTTGGAACATGAGTTTTAAAAATTCCCTTGGCTAGGCGCGGTGGTTCACACCTGTAATCCCAGCACTTTGGGAGGCCGAGGTGGGCGAATCACAAGGTCAGCAGATCGAGACCATCCTGGCTAACACGGTGAAACCCCGTCTCTACTAAAAATACGAAAAAGTTAGCTGGGTGTGATGGCGTGCGCCTGTAGTCCCAGCTACTTGGGAGGCTGAGACAGGAGAATGGTGTGAACCCAGGAGGCGGAGCTTGCAGTGAGCCGAGATTGCGCCACTGCACTCCAGCCTGGGTGACAAAGCGAGATTCCATCTTAAAAAAAATAAATAAATAAATCCCTTGGCTGTGCTTCTAAAAGTAAGATCACAGAGGCAGGGCAGAGAGAGCACACCACCCAGGGTGTGATGGTCCCTGAATGTGGAGAGCTAACTGGACACCACCTTAAGTGTGAGTACGTGTGTCAAACCTGGAATGCAGAGACACCGTGCAGGGTGAACCCATGAGTGTGTAGGGAACACCCTGCCCCTGCAGGGATGTGAGGCAGGGGAGCCAGGCATGTGGAGGAAGGGTCGCAGGACTGACTGAGCAGGGGCCTGAGGCACTGAGATCCCAGCCAAGGATGCCTGGGGGGTTTCTGAGCAGGAGCCAGCACCATCAGAGTAGTTTTTGTCGCCGTGTTAGCCAGGATGGTCTCGATCTCCAGACCTTGTGATCCACCCGCCTTGGGCATCAGAGTAGTTTTGGGAAAACTTGAGAGTGAGGCAAGCCACGCTAGAAGGTGAAAACTGACAGGTAGGGAGATGGAGGGGCTCAGGCCCGTTACCCCATATGGCACAGTGGACCTGTGCTTCTGGAGATGTAGACGGGGTGGCCGCTGGGGCTCAGACCTGTTTCCCCATGGCACGGTGGACTTGTGCTTCTGCAGATGTGGAGGGGGTGGCCGCCCCTCACTCTCCAGGAGGTAGAGAGCAAGCCCTTCCAATGACCTTGGTACCTACTGTGCCCTTGACCTCGCATTCCTAGCTATCTCATGGGCTCTGCACCAGTGCCTCCTCCCACCCTCAGTAAGGCACCTTCTAGGTCCAGCTGTGTGGCAGGGAGCGACAGGCAGGAATGATCTGACCCCTTTGGCCGGGCACGGTGACAGGTGGGCTGAAAGATGAGTCACTAAACATGATCTGGGGCGCGGGGCGGGGGTGCAGCTCAGTTTCAGCCCCTCGCGCCGGGGAGGATGACCGTGCAGCTTTATATAGCCCCTGAGCCCTATATAAGCAAGTCAGAGGCCGGGGCTCGTCCGACAGGAGCCCTCAAGCTGATCTGGTCGGGGCCGGACACATTATTAACCCCAGCGCAGTAGGATCCCCAGGGACAGCCTGTCCCACAGCGCCCAAGATGCCTAGCAGAACTGCCCGCTATGCCCGCTACAGCCCACGGCAGCGGCGGCGACGGATGCTGGCTGATCGCAGCGTGCGTTTCCCTAATGATGTTCTGTTCCTGGACCACATCCGTCAGGGTGACCTGGAGCAGGTGCGGCGTTTCATCCGGGCTCAGAAAGTCTCCCTGGCCACGATACATCCCTCAGGTGAGCAAGCCCTGGAAGAGCTGGCCAGGGGCTGTGGGGTGGGGTGGAAGCCAGCAAGGAGGACCCGACCTGAGGCTCAGTCTTGACCCCTCCCTTCCTCCCTGCCCAGGCCTGGCCGCCTTGCATGAAGCCGTGCTGTCTGGAAACCTGGAATGCGTGAAGCTGCTGGTCAAATACGGAGCCGACATTCACCAGCGAGATGAGGCGGGCTGGACACCCCTGCACATTGCCTGCAGCGACGGGTACCCCGACATAGCCAGGTGAGGGGGCCTGGGTCTACACAGGGTTGAACTCGACCCCTCCAGGCCTCAGTGGGCCCCCAGGATGTGGGCCCCAAAATGTGGTCCTGGTGGTGTAGGCAAGAACCATACGGGCTGAGCACGGTGCCTCAGGCGTGTAATCCCAGCCCTTTGGGAGGCTGAGGTAGGCGGATCACCTGAGGTCAGGAGTTCGTGACCAGCCTGGCCAACATGGAGAAACCCCTTCACTACTAAAAATACAAAACTAGCCGGGCGTGGTGGCGCATGCCTGTAATCCCAGATACTCAAGGCTGAGGCAGGAGAATTGCTTGAACCCGGGAGGCGGAGGTTGCCCTGAGTGGAGATCATGCCACTGCACTCCAGCCTGGGTGATAAGAGCGAAACTCTGTCTCTAAAAACAGCGGCAACAACAACAAAAAAAGAACCCTACAAACCCTAAAAGCTTCTGGAATCCTGTTTCTGCCCTTGTCCTCAACAGAGCCAACTTGAAAAGCTGGCCACAGCTTCCAAAGGGTCAGGTTTCTTCCTCCTCACCCTACCCGGACCTTGAGACCCGAAGGTGGGGGACACACAGGTGACCCCAGGACTCTGGCCCTCTGACCTGGGTGGGGACGAGCACTCTCCCGGCTCCTCCCCGCTTCAGCCAGGGCGACTTTGCACCCCAGGTACCTTATCTCCCTGGGAGCGGACAGGGACGCAGCCAACGACGATGGCGACCTGCCCTCCGACCTCATCGACCCGGACTTCAAGGAGCTGGTGGAGCTCTTCAAAGGGGCCACGATGGACTGAGCCAGCTCTGCCCGCCCGCCCCCGCGCCCAGGGCCGCCTCCCTGGGGAAGCCGCGCGTCGCCCCGGGGCCAGCACGTGCCCCACCCGTGGGCCAGGGGCGGCCGGACCCGTCCCTCCACGACCCCGCCACCCCTCCTAGGCCTGGCTTTGTCTCCAGGTGAATTTTTTACTGTGACACTTTTTACTTTTTCAATAAACGTGACTCCCAGGTGAGGGGGCCTGGGTCTACACAGGTGGTGCTTGTGGTGGTGTCCTGATTACTGGGCTCCCGCCGCTGCCGGTGGCCAGCGGCGCTCACCGTCCAGGCCGGGCCGGCCCAGAGTTGCCGCCACGAGCCCCGACCCCGCCCGGGAATCCCGGCCGCCCCCGCCCTCCGCGTGCCGGGCGGTCACGTGGGAGCGCGCTGCGTCTGCGCCTGCGCAGCCGGCGGTGGCGTCATTTCCGGCGGGGCCTCCCAGCTGGAAGAGGCGGTGGCGGCGGGTCGGGGTGAGGTGAGGCGGGTGCGTCGCCGGGCGGCGGGGACGGGGCGGGGCGGGCGCGGCTGGGCCCCGCCCTGGTGTCGCCGGGCTGCCGCGGGTGCCCTGCAGGGCCGGGCGGGGCCGGGCGCAGGGGAGTGGCCGAGTGGCCGGGGTCCGAGGGAGGGGCCCGCGTTCCTTGCCCGGCACCTGCAGGAGGGCGCGGCCCGCGGGGCACTTGGGAGCGCGCGTGGGGAGGGCGCGACTCGGACTGAGCGCCTTTCCCGCCCAGGCCGGGGCAGGGGCCGGGGACCCAGCGCGGCCGCACGCTCGCGGACGGCCCGCCTTCTGCCACCGTCGGGGCTCTGGGGCTGACAGAGCCCCGCTTTCTCCCGGAGGGACCGTGCCTGAGGATGCCTCCGACTCTCGGAGCCCCGCGGGCCGGGCCGTGCGCATTCTTCTGTCCATTTTCCGGCCTTGCCCGCTTTCCCGTCTACCCAGGCAGTGGTGCTGGGCCTAACGGAGAGAACCGGGCCTCCGCCTGCCTTCGAGGCACTCACTGGGCGGTGGTTGTGACCGCGGGGGCGGCAGCCACACGGGGCACGGGCTGTGCTTCTCTCCGTCGTGCCCCAGGGTAGCCGTCGCAGAAAGGTGGTCTTTGAGCTGGACCCTCAAGGATGAGTAGGTTATGGGCAGAGAACACTGCTTGACCAAAGGCCTTGAGATGTAAACGGGGACCAGTGAGTGGACTTTGGGTGGGATGTGGCGAGAAGATGTAGAGAGGGTGGGAGGTGGGACGTGAAGAAGAGCCAACTCTTCCTAAAAGACGGGGCTGGATCTGGGGCGAGTCAGGGGAGGTTGTGGTTTGAGTGGGATCAGGATGGGGAGGAGGGCGCACATGCTTAGTCTGTTGCTGCCACCACCCAGGGGAGAGGGTGAGGAGGTGGGGCAACACTTAGAGGCTTTCTCCGGGGGTCTTCAAGGAACCACGAGATGCCAGTGTATCAGCTGTGACAGCGGCATCCTTGTGCGCCTGCTTGGGTAGTAGATCATATTCTAGCCTGATTGGCTGAAAAAGACACAGAACACGAAGATAAAGTGGAGTCTTAGCAACTTTGAATCTCAGAAACTCCAGAGGAGCACCGAATAGCGATGGCGTCACTGATTCTAACTCTGGAACCTCACAATATTGTCACGTTGCTGGAGTGTTACCTCATGTCCTGTTCTTAGGCATGTGGCTGTGTGTGGGGGAAAGAATTTGAGACTGAGAGGCCAGAGACTGGGGTTCTGTCCCCTCCCCACCAGGAAGTCTCTGAAGCCCTTGGGTCCCCTGGAGGAGGAAGGTTCTATATAGTTCTACCCAATAAGACTCCCCTCCGTATCTGGAGGGAGGGCCAGTCTCTGAGCAAAGCCACACGGGTATCAGTGGGGAATGGGGCTTTCAGGGAGTCCAGAAACCTGCTGTGAGGTGGAGGCAGGCTTTGGGGAGGCTGAGGCCAGCTGCAGCATTCGGGCCGAGCCCCAACTGCTGTAGCCCTGGAGGCCCTGGCAGGGGCACCGCTACTTGGTGGCAGGCTCCTTCAGCGCCGAACTGGGAGTTCTCAGGGTGTCTTTCTGGCCCAGCTGTGGGGACATGGGCAGTGTGTGTAAGGAGGACCCAGTGTGGTGGCTGCCCTGCCCTTAGTCCCTGACAAGTGTTTGCGTGTCTGGTGGCAGTCTCTTCTTTCTGTCCCCAGTGCTTTTCTGTGCCTCCACCTCCCTAGGAGTGGGCTGATTCTACATTCCAGTTTTCCCAGAAGAGTTGTTTCATGCTTAATAATCAACAGCATCCCTTTCATTCTTTTTTTTTTTTTTGCGATGGAGTCTTGCTCTGTCTCTGTCTTCCAAGCTGGAGTGCAGTGGCATGATCTCCCCTCACTGCAACCTCCGCCTCCCGGGTTTAAAGTGATTCACCTGCCTCAGACTCCTTAGAAGCTGGGATTACAGGTGCATACCACCATGCCTGGCTCACTTTTTTTTCTTTTTCTGAGATACAGTCTCGCTCTGTTGCCCAGACTGGAGTGCAGTGGCGTGATCTCGGCTCACTGTAACCCCCGCTTCCTGGATTCAAGTGATTCTCCTGTCTCAGCTTCCCAAATAGCTGGGACTACAGGCATGTGCTACCACGCCCAGCTAATTTTTGTATTATTTAGTAGAGATGGGGTTTCGCTGTATGTTGGCCAGGCTGGTCTCGAACTCCTGACCTCAGGTGATCCGCCCACCTCGGCCCCCCAAAGTGCTGGAATTACAAGCTAAGCCACTGCACCCTGCCTCTTTTTTTTTTTTTTTTTTTTTTTTTTTTTTTTTTTTTTTAGTAGCGATGGGGTTTCACCATGTTGGCCAGGCTGGTCTCAAACGCCTAACCTCCGGTAATCTACCCACCTCAGCCTCCCAGAGTGCTGGGATTGCAGGCGTGAGTCACCACACCTGGTAGAGATGGGGCTCTTTCTATGTTTCCCAGGCCAGTCTTGAACTCCTGGCCTCCCAAAGTGCTAGGATTACCACCACACCTAGCCCCTTTCTTTTTTCTTTTTCTTTTTCTTTTTTTTTTTGAGACGAAGTCTCACTCTTTTACCCCAGGCTGGAGTGCAATGGCGCGATCTCGGGTCACTGCAACCTCTGCCTCCAGAGTTCAAGCGATTCTCCTGCCTCAGCCTCCCGAGTAGGTGGGATTACAGGCAGCTGCCACCACGCCTGGCTAATTTTTGTATTTTTAGTTGACATAGGGTTTCTCCATGTTGGCCAGGCTGGTCTCGAACTCCTGAGCTCAGGTGATCTGCCCGCCTCAGCCTCCCAAAGTGCTGGGATTACAGGTGTGAGCCACCGGAGTCTGTCGCCCAGGCTGGAGTGCAGTGGCACGATCTCGGCTCACTGCAAGCTCCACCTTCTGGGTTCACGCCATTCTCCTGCCTCAGCCTCCTGAGTAGCTGGGACTACAGGCGCTGCCACCTCGCCCGGCTAATTTTTTGTATTTTTAGTAGAGACGGGGTTTCATTGTGTTAGCCAGGATGGTCTCGATCTCCTGACCTCGTGATCTGCCTGCCTCGGCCTCCCAAAGTGCTGGGATTACAGGCGTGAGCCACCGCGCCCAGCCTCCTTTCGTTCTTAACAGCATCCAGTTGAACGATGTGGCACATGCTTGTCCTGTCCATCATTGTATTGGATAAGGAGCCACAGAGACCTCACTGAGCTGCTCGCTTCCCATGGCTGTGCTTCTGTCCCTATTGGAGCAGGCGAGCATCCCTGTGGGCTGCATCACTTTGAATGAGGATGCCGAGGCTCAGAGGAGCTTTCCTGGGGCCCCAGAGTAGGGTAATACCTGCAGCCCAGCAGGCCAGGCCCTGTAGGCTGGACAGCCACAGAAGTAGGCGGTCAGGCCCTGCAGAATGCACAGACCTGCAGGTCACCTGCACTCTGGGTGGCTGGTGGCAGGTGGTCCTGTGGCAAAGGCTGTTGGGGCAGGAGTGGAGCAGCAGGTGACACCTGATGAAACACGTTGGGGCTGGACAGTGGGCTTGATGGCAGCAGAGGGCCTGGGTGACACCCTAGTGGTAAGTGACTTGGGGAAAGGGTGTCAGGAAGATCATGTAGACATCTGTGTCCACCCGTGCTGACACTGGGGGTCTGGAACCAGAGGTTTTTCTAGCCCTGGGTGGGGTGGGGTGGAGTGGCATGGGGTGTGGAAGACTTTGAGGGGAAGGGGAGAAAGTACCTAAATACTGTGTAGCTTGAGGGGCTCTGGAAGGGTGGTCCTGGGCCAGGAGAGTGTCATCAAGGGTCCTCCCATGTGAGACCCCAGCTACGCTATATTTCATGCGCTACATTATGAGCTGCGCTATATTTCACAGTACACTGAGAAAGAAAAACCACCATTGGTTAAACTCAGACGTGTTAGCAATCGTCAGGTACAACCCAGTTTCAAAGATATTAAAATATGAAAACTATGAAGGAAAACTCTCAGAGGCAGTGGGGCGTGGTGTAGCGACCGAGGAGTACAGGGCTGTGGCCGGGACATCGGCACGCTTGGTCTTCATTCTGACTGAAAGAGGGAAGGAGAACGGGACTGAGGCATTGCCTGACCCTCCCTCGCTGCTCTCACCCTGGTGGTGGCCCAGGTGGGATGAAGGCTGGGGAGCTGGGCTGGGTAGGGTCTCGAGACCTCTGAAGTGGGGCTGTCTCTCTGGGTTGAATGGAGCCCCCTCCCTCCCACCCTTCACCTATGGTCAGCCTCGGTCAGGCCACCACTCCCCTTTACCTGGGCGGCTGAGCAACAGGTCAGTGTCCTGCTGGCTCAGGGGCCGCCACCTCAGGTGGCCATCTGCCATGTGCTAAGTCTTTTCAGGCTGTCCCCGGCGCTTCTCTGGGCCTGTACCATTGTCCCCTGCTCACTCTCACCCACTGTGGTCCTGGGTCCCTCCACATCCACCATCTCAGGGATGCATGCATGTTGTGCCTCAGGGTTCCCCCTGCTTAGCCAGACACCAGCCTCTGCCCACTGGGCCTAAGCTAGGGCTGAGCTGCCTGCCAGCCACACTTCCTGCCCTCCCCCCTCAGCTGTGTGCCTCACTGTGCTTGGCCGCCCCGCTAAGGTTGTTGGAGGCCTTCTCATTGTGGCTCCATGGTGACCTCTCGGGTCAGAGCTCGCTTGACCTCCAGCCGTCTCCGTGGAGGGCTCCTTCCTGCCCTCACAGACACCGTCCTGGCCCTGGCTCCGGTTCTGTCTGTGCCTCGGCCCTCTGCA